ACTGTCCCACCAGAGCAGTGAGTGACCTGCTCATCCCTTTCAAGCACCAGACCCAGGAGGGAGGGGAGGCCCCTGAGCCGGGAGCAAAACAGCAAAAAGAGAAGAGAAAAAGCCAGTCCAGTCCCTCCGCGTGCCTCACATGGCCAGGAGCTGCTCCAGCTCATCCAGTATCACCGAACAGTCCTTCATTTCTGCCTGGAAGGAGGAATGCTTCTCCAGGGACCGCTGCCTCCCGTCCTCAGCCGAGTCCCACCTGGCCATGGCGCTCTGTCAGAGAAGCCCATGCACACGACATTAGTGACAGCAGAGGACTGCCCAGCAAAGCAGCTTCCAAACAGCCCCAACCAAAGCTTCTCCCCTCTCCAGCAGGGTCTTACCTGCTCAAGTAAGACTAGCCTAGCCTGACTGGGATGGCTTTTACCTTTGTTCTTTGAGAAAAATGATTTGTGACCAAAGTTCAGGAAGTCTTATATAACAAATTCATTAATTAGCGCTCCAACTCCTTACCAAGAACTGCAATTTAATGACTTATTTTGGTCGGTCTATAGACAGTATCACTGAAGCTGCTTGTGCTTGCACACTTGGTCCCCAGGGAGGCTCCCTGGTCTGCACCACTCTCCAAGTGAGACCAAGCATCCTGCACCCCAGTGTAACAGCCAGACTGGTGGGCCAGCGTCCTGCCACTGGTGCTGACAATCACCTGCAGCACACTCACAAAAATCCTCTCTCCAGGAGCTGGTCTGAGCAGAGGCAGCTCCATTTCCAGTACTGACCTCCACTGGTACTTGGAACTGATTCACTTCAAACCCATCAGCCATTTCTAACACTTTGATCTCTGACCTTGTTTCAAGGTCAGTTGTACAGGATTTAATTCTCATCTCCATCATTTCAAGTTAACGTTGCCCCCCCATAAACCTCCCTTTAGCCCCCCTCTTTAGAAGCCCAGTAACAATCAGTTATCAGTGTATTTCTAATAAAAGGCTTTTGCTCCTTAGCTCACTTGGAGAATTGAGCAGCACTGGGAGGAGCAAAATGACCTTCAGAATCTCACTCAGCACCAGGTGCTCGTGACCTGGTTGAGCCTGAAACAGGCACAGTCTTACCTGAAGCATCTCCTTTTCTTTTGCAGCTGTTTGATTAAATAGCCTCAATTCCTCTATGAGCTTCTCTGTTAATAGCTGAAGAGCCAAAAGGAAAATGGTTTAACGTAACACAAACAAGCGCAAGTCTCAGCTGTTTGCACAGCACCAGTAGAACCAGGCAGTACCCACAGCCTTCCCAGACCCCACTTAACTCCCATCACCATTTCCAAATGTTCTTACCCTTGTCTGCTTCAAAAAATCTTCCTCCTCCAGAATGTTGCTGCCTGTAACTAATTTACGAGATGCATTAGTGAACCTCTAATATACAGATGACTTTGCTTGTGAGAATTAACAGCTCTTCAAAGTAGCTTTCTACAGCAAGAAAGACTAAATGACGTTCAAAGTTTATCTGGGACAGTGCCCACTACAGGAAGCAGCTTTTTTTCTTAAGCTAGGAAATAAAAAAATCCCCTGGAGTTACAGCAGTATTTGCTTAACGAGGAAGCAGAGTCCAAACATCTTGTGAACAGTCACAACAGGAGGAAAAAAACCCCCAAAACACCAACAAAACCCAGAGTTGTGAAGAACGAGCACCAGAACGGTATGTGCAGTGCATAGTCCTTACCTGGATCAATATTTCTGCTTTCCAAAATCACCATGCACGTCTCCTGAAATTTCTTGAGCTTCTCCACTTCCTGCAGCAGGCTTTCATTCTCCTCCTTCAACTCCTTTATAGTGCCCTGTCATTAACACAGGCTGTGAGTGAATCAAGTTTCCAAGGAGATGTTCTTCTCATTAGTGATGCTAATGGCTTAACAAGTGCTCCACTAGCAGGAGAATCAGATCTTGCCCTTCTGTCTCTCCCACCACAGCAAATTAGTCTGTTGCAGACCCTTCCTCCTGCTTCTTGACAAGATTAATACATTTATCACACCCACATGTCATAGCAATTACTATCAAAAATTTGATCCTAGAGATTAATTCCTTTTAGTCAATCCTAGCCTTTCTTTTCTCATGCTCCCTCTCATATATATATAAATAATTCAAGAGCCTGATGCATTGAAGAGCATATAAGCATCGGGAAGAAAAGGGCATCTTAGCATCTTTAAGCCATAGCATTACTCCCTACACAGTTCAGATATTCCCAGGCCATCAGATAAACTGATCAGCCTCCCAAGTTGAATGCAGTTCTCCCAGAGAATCAATAAGCATGTGGATTAGGGTGATCCAGCTGATAGCGTCAGAAGCTTTTTGAATGTTTCATAGGGAGGTCTCGAAGGCTCTTAAAGAAACCAAGCTGTGAGATAAGAGGAGTGATCATCTCACAGATTAGTCACTGGTTGGGAATAGGAAATGAAAGGAGCTTTTCCAGCTGAAGGTTACCAGTAGGGTCTCTTGCACACAGCAGAAACTGTGCTAAGTGGTGTCCTAGAGTGGTCTGTAAGAGGTGAATAACGAGGTGCCAATTCTGAATCTCAACTTGATTCAAGAAAGTCAAATCTGTTTGAAACAGAATCCACTGAACAGTCCCAGCTCTCTCAGCCTTTCCTCCAGTCCCTTAACCATCTCAGTGGCCCTTTGCTGGACTCTTTCCAGTATGTCCCTGTCTCTCTTGTACCAGGAGCCCAAAACCAGACACAATTCTCCAGCTTTGGCCTCACCAGTGCTGAGCAGATGGGAATAAAAACTTGCAGAAGAATACAAAGATACTAAAAGATTAGGCAACAATGGGGCAAAACAGCTCATGAAGAAAGATGAGCTTATATAAACTGAGCTCTATGTAAATACTCAGCAGAGAATGAGGTCACTGTCCCTCAAACTCAGTGCACAACACTGACCAAAGTGCAAGTAGAATGTTCTTCATTACTACAATGAGATCACACACATTCCTGAACTCACATCTTCACCCAAACTCTACTGACTTCCGATGGAGACAAGAAAACAAGCAAGACAATCCTTTGATCTGACCCTGTAGGGATCAGAAAATAAGAATTACTTAATGATTTATTTATTCCCCCCTCCCATCTTTCCTCACCTGTGCTCCTGTGAGTCTGGAGTGTAGCTGTTGTTTGGCTGTTTCTAACAGCTGATTCTTGGTCTTCAGTTCTGCTTCTAGTTTGTATCTGTTGAGAGGTCTGTAAGGTCAAACATCAAAGATTTAAAGGCAAAAATATCAGTATTACACACCTTCTCCTTAACTCCCACAAACACACCCCTTTTTTGAAGCATTTGCTCTTGTTTCTGAACAAGAGCTTCCATCAGCAAACTTGGCGAGAAAGCTGTGCATGGGTGAGAGCTCATCCCAACCCTCCAAGAGGGAACATTCCTGCATGAGGGCAGCTAACAGAAATTTGAGGAAACATACCCTCTTGTAGCTGTCTTCTTTGCAACCGGTTCCACTTTCTTGGCAGATTTAGGCAGCCTTAAAAGACAGGTAAAACACAATTACCAGGAGGCCACTGTATTCTTGCAGATTACCAAGTCTGTTACTTTGACAGAACCTGCAAAAAGCTAAGCCATTTTCAGGACGTTTGCTGAGCAATAAACCCATCAGTATTTTAGTGCCATTTACCCTTGGTTTGTAGCTTTGAAGACACCATCTGCTGGAATGTTTGTGGCAAAGTTAAAATTGGGATCTTTGCTGAATTCCAGATCTGCTGCTTTGCTGACGCATTGTTTCTTTGAAGGAAAAGCCGTTTGCATTTCTGCAAGAAAAAGACAACAATGAAAACCCTACAGAATTCAAGAGATCATCATCATCACAGAGCTACTGGATCTCTTAAGCCTTCAATTTGAAGTAAATTGCAATTTTATCTGGCTAGAATGGAGACTTTAAGGTAGTAACAACAAGGGCAGTCTTCAAACTTTACCCAGGATAAAGGGTCAAGAACAAGCCCCAGATAGCTCAGATGGTAGAGAGTGTTAAAACATAGGCTAGCACTAATGAGAGAAGGTTTGAAAGTGCTAATACAGGTATGGTAACAAAGGAGGTCTCAACATCAAGCAGACAGCACCCATAGGGTTCCAAGCAAAGTTGTTCAGCACTGGAAGGAAAACAAACACAGCCCACTTCAAACTCTCAGTTAAAAGAACTTCATATTTCAATTCACTCCAAGCAGATACACTTCTAAAATAAC